CCCTGGTCCGCGACGGGCAGCAGCACCCGCTGGAACCCGATGGCCTCCAGGAACTCGTGCGTCCCCTCCAGGCAGTTGATGCGCTCCTGGGGAGACGGGGGCAAGGGTCACACAAGGCCCCACCCCGGCAGGAGCGCCAGACCTGTGCTGAACTGGGAGCACTGTATACTGAGCCCGCTTGCGGTTCCCACCAGCACCTTCACAGCCTGCGGGCCGCGACCACCCAGCGCCGGAGGGGAGGAGGGGTCTAAAGCCCCAAACGACTGCCGGCGGAGGGCGCCCAAGGTGGGGAGTAGGGTGAGTGGGCCTAGTGGGGTGGCATCTGTGACCAGGGGGGACCCAAACCCTAGCTCTCCAGAGGAGCCTCGAGTCTGCTAGCTTGAAAAGTCCCTAGCACAGTGTGCCCCAAAGAATTGGATCTTCAGGGTCCCAATCCCGCAGGGCCCTGCCCTGCCTCTGGCCAAGCCCCCCCACTGCGTGCTGTTGCGGGAGACCAGGTCAGGGCCAAGGGTCAGGGTAGGGCCCACCTGGAACACCTTGTTCTGCAGCTTGATCTTCCGGTACTTCTCCTCCTCAGGGTGCAGGTGGATGTTGTCTAGGTACCTGAGGGGAGGGTGGCCAGCAGCAAGGAGGAGCACCCACGATCAGGGTGGAGTTTGTGGTCACAGTCACCCCACAGACATGGCAGAGCCCATGCCTACTGGGCAGGAGCCTGAGGCCACTGGAGGGGCCTTGCTCTGGGATACCCGCAAGCCACAGCAGTGGCAGAGTTGACAGCTAGAATGAGGGACCACCAAGCCAGGGGACCACAGCACTGCTGCAGGTCCCAGGGAGTTCACCACCCCACGTGATGGGGTGGTGACCAATGGACAGACTCAAGCCCTCCCCAGTTTGCCCAGCCCAACACCAGGGGTGGGCTCCGGCTGTCTCCATCCCCCAAAGGAAGCAGCAATGTGGACTCTGGCCCAAGACCCCCAAGACACCCTCACATAGGTGAGGGTGGCCCAGCCCTTCCAAGGCCTGCGTGGTTCACTCACTTGGCAATGGTGTCCACTCCCAGCTTCACCCGGTCACGGTCTCTGTTGAATGTGTGGATCTTCATGATGGAGGCGGCCACAGGGTCTGTGGTGAAGTGCTGGGGCAGAGGAAGGCATGGTGAGCACACGCGCCATGCACAATGCTGCCCACTCCCATGATCCTCTGTAGCCCCAAGCCACCAGCAGTGGCCTAGAGAACTGGAGGTGCTCAGGAGATTAGAGGGGGCAGTAGCCCCACCAGGGCCTGCCCAGCTCTCCCAGAGCTCCTGGAAGGAAGGTACAGGCCTCAATGACTGACATCCTCACATTTCCTCAAGGACACAGGGAATCCTGGGCAGCTGCTGGGGTCACACACATGGCAGACATCTCCAAAGCTCCCAACAGCTAGCTCTCTTGCCTCCTTCAAAGCAGGCAGCAGGGCTGCCAGGGAAAGTGTTGGGACCGGGAGGTGAGCAAATTGTGCACAGGACAGTGGCGTTACTGGGACCAATAGGCAGGGGACAGGCACCCCCCACACACATCTAGGGAGGAGCCACAATGCCAAAGAGGGACACTGGCACTGCCTTAGCTAAGGGACAAGGAACAAAGGAAGGGCACATGCAGCAGGAAGCCATGTCCACAGGGGAAGAAGGCTGGACAGCACAAGCGGAAGCCATGATGCTTTTCCTTCATTGGAGCTGCATGTGCTCTGGGAGGAAATAAATCAACTCTAAGCTCCAACCATTCAGATAAGACCAGGAACGAGGATATAAGAATGCACCGGTACCACCACACCGGGTGTATGCAGCATGGAGCCCATAAAAGCCTCCAGTCTATCAGCCAATCCCAGAAACACATTTAAGCGCCTATGGGCAAAGCAACAGAGCCAACATGTAAACGGGGAGACAGCTGCAGCCACACCACAGGCTGCCAAACTTCATTAACACAGAATCAGTAAGAAAAGCAGCCTCGCACTGCCGTCACGCCTAGAACACCAGCACTCGGGAGAAAGTCCTTCTCCTAAGGGGAGGGAAGCTTGGCTCAGAGGTAGAATACCAGCCATGAACAAGAAAGCCAAGTGAATGGGAGGCCCTGAGTTCAAGTCCCAGCACTTCCAAAAAATAAAAATAATTTAAATGTCCACTAAGTTCATCAACAGCAGGTGGGTTAATGAGTTCCAGAATAACTTACAGTGGAGACACAGAGCAGGACAATGGCTCAAAGACACAAAACGCCCTCCAGCCCCCTGGATTGGCTCTGGAAAGCCCAGACTCCTGCCCCTGGAACTGTGGGAGTGTAGGCGTGTTTATGTCTGCAGCTTATAATCATTTGTTATAATAGCCAGCACAAATTCATATCATGTCTTTAAGTATGAGGCTACCTGCAAATACAGGAGCCATAAGAAGCTGCTCTGACCAGGTGCCAGGGGCTCACACCAATAAACCTAACTACTTAGGAGGCTGAGATCTGAGGATCATGGTTCCAAGCCAGCCTGGGAAGGAATGTCCGTGAGACTCATCACCAATAAACCACCAGAAAACCACAAGGAGCACTGTGGCTCAAGTGGTAGAGCGCTCACCTTGAGCTGAAGAGCTCAGGGACGGCTCTTCAGCCCCAGGCCCAGAATTCAAAACCCACAACCAACAACAACAGAAAAGAAGCTGTACCAGTGGCTCATGTCTGTAGTCCTGGCACTTGGGAAGCTGAGAAGGGAGAGATCAATGCCACGAGGGTCAATGCCAGCTTGGGCTGAAAAGTTCTCAAGACCCTATCTCAAAATAACTGGAAAGACGGGGCTACAGGTCTGGTTCAAGTGGAGGTATGGCTCAAGTGGTACAATGCCAGGTGAGCAAGTTCCAGCCCCAATACTGACAAGGACCAAAAGTACTGAGGGAATTCTTTCCATTCCCTGAAGTTAACCCTGCTGAACATGAGCGGCAGGTGACTTTCTAGAGGACAGAGAATGGCAAGGGGACAGACACGAGACACACAGTGGGGCCACACACACAGTGTGTCTGAGAAGGACCCAGAGCTCCCAGCTCCTTGCGGATGCGGGTGGCAGGAGAAGTGGAGGCCAGGCGCCTGGACTCAGGTATGAGGTGACCTCCTCACAGAGGTAAAAGCCCAGCCAGGCTGTGAGCGGCTCTACGCCCAGGAACCCCAGGGCCACTCACCGACATAATGGCCTCTCTGATGCGGGCGTCCCGCTGGTCCCTCCGCAGGGTGGCCCCCGTGAGCGGACAGGTGAAGTACACGCCATTCACAGCCAGGTGGCCTGAGCCTTCCTCTTTGGTCTCAGGCATCTGGGGGCAAAAGTGTCTGGATCCGACTATGGCCAGAGGTCACCCTGAGCCACAGAACAGAGAGGTTGCTCCTAGGGCCAGATACCCACACCCCAAAAATGCTCTCTTTACTGAGCCACCTAGCGATGACTAAACCTCTCGGGGTTCTTGGTGTGGGAAACATCCCTGCTCAAGAATGAGGGAGGGCAGAAGCCAGAGCAGACTCCTGGGGCGAGAGCTTGGGGTGTTCCTATGTCTGGACAGAACTTGGGGTACCGCCCCCTAAAGAGGAGCTTGAGGTGGGGTCCGGCACCCACCCACAGGCTGCAGAATCCCCAGCTCTCGGCACTTTAAGCCCTGGACATGGCTAGGGATCTTGCCTTCTAGGAATCATCGAGACCTGGAGCTCTGCTGCCTGGGACACCTTTGGGCCAAGTTCTCCTGAGAGCTGAGCCTGACCCCCCCCCTAACCCGCAGCTGTACCTTCTCCATGGGGGGTGCAGGGGGGGCAGGGGAGGCTGCTTCTAGCACTGTTAGTTACCGACTTGGTCCCAGGAGCATCCGGGCTGCTGCTGCTGGTTGCCTCGGCTTGCAGCTCCTTTCTCACTGGGAGGGCAGAGGGAAAGGCGGGGGGGAAGAGCCAAGACCCCTGCCCAGGGCCCCAAGACCCTCCCCTCCCATACTTCCCCAGCAAGTCCAGTCCTGGACTCCACCCCATGCCTCATCCTTCGCACAAGGGAGTGTCCTGCCACCCTGCCCCTAGGGCCCAAGTGTCCCGTGGGTGCTTCCCAAGAGTTATATAATCATGTCCCTGCTTACCCTGGTTCCTGATGGAGTCCTGTGACGTAGGACCCCGGGACCTGGGCTGCTTCTGCTCCAGCCGCGCCAGGGCTGCTGCCGCCGCCATCTGTGCCTCATCTGTGGGTCCCTGGCGGGGCTGCCGGAGGGCTGGCTGCTGGGACTTTTCTTTAGGGGCCTTCTCTCTGGACAGAGATGGAGGGACAGGGTTTGAGGCTGACACAAGGTCCAATGGAAGAGCATCTGCTACTGGTCCCATCAGACAACCCTGTCCTGGCCTGCATAGGGTTCCAGGCTTCCCAGGGCCCCCATGTGGGGGTGACAGGGGAAGCTGCTTCAACTCTGCCCCTTTGGGGGCCTTGGCCAGGTCCTGGCATCTCCAAATGCCAACAAGACCAGCACATTCCTGCACCAAGGTTTCCTGATGTCCCAGGAATGCAGAAGACTTGCTATGGTGACATGACCCTGCCTCCTACCCTTCTTCCAGTGCCTGGCCACGCTGGGGGGGGGGGACACTGCAGCTGAGCCTAGGGGGCTCCCAATAACATTTCCCTCTGTGGCACCTGGCTCGCAATGAGTTCTACCTTACCCTGGCTGCTTTGGTCCTCGCTAGGCATCTCTCAGCCCACTAAGATCACTCCCACAGTATGGAGGGAGCTGGCGGTGAGGTTTCCACCAATACACTCTGACTAACCACAAGGCCTTCTTTTGCCCTCAATGACCCCCACTCCCACCCCCCAAGTCCAACTGTTCAAGCCATACACACACTAGGTCCACAGACCCTCCACAAGATGGTAGCTAGGTTCTCATTAAGAACCCTCATTCCCCTTCCTCACCCCTTCTCTCTGGGTAGAACAGAAGATGCATGCATCACCCCCTCATGTTTCATCTCCCCCTCCCTCCCCTGCATCCCTACCTTCTCCACCTCTGCCCCACCCAGTATGTTTCTGGTGGGACAAAGCAAAAACCCAAAGTCACTTCACTGTCTGCACTGGGCTCCCACAGGTTTCTACATGCCAAGCAAGTGGGTCCCCAGAGAAGTCCCCAGAATGTCCCATCTGGGACAGGGTGAGGACAGGGGATCTGGGAAGGGTTCTACAGGGAGAGATGAAGAGGCTGATTCAACAAATGGCCCAGTGCCAGCTCAAGCGTCACCTTCTCAGAGACAGTATGATACCCACCTCGTTGGTGGATCAGTCATCTGCACCCTCAGGAGGGCACACCCTAATGCACTGGGCCCCCGGCAGCCCTTGCTGAGACCTGAGGCAGGAGGCCTACCTGTCCTGCCCTCCAAGGCTGCAGGCTTGTTCCTGGACCATTCCTCAATTCCTTCTCCTTCCTAGGCTCCCGGTCCAAGGTAACCATCAGCTCCCATGTCCCTCTGTCATATACAAGCCCTGCTGACCCACCTCTTTCCCCAGCCACCCCCTCAAGTGGGGAGGGACCTGGACGAACGTCCCTCCTTCCCAGTCCTGCCAGCCTCCCTCCTTAATTTCCCATTACTCCTGCAAACCTTGTCCTTGGCTACGGGCTGTCCTTGGTCCCCACCATCCTTCTGTCTCTACAAGGACCCTAGCCTCCCCAAGCTCTGTTCTGTCATCCATCCACCAGCCTAAGGGCTGTCACAGAACCCTGATGCCACAATCCCCCCCCCCTCCATGCCCAGACCTCCCTGTGTCCCATCCCATGCTCCCAGACTTCTCAGGCCTTACAGTGTCTCCCCCGCCCCTCCCCAATCCCTCCATACAGCAGGCTTTAGCTCCTCAACCGGCCCTCCAGAACCAGAGCCCAGATCTGTGTTTCCACAGATGCCAAATCTCACATACAACTCCAGGACCTCTTGTACTCGTCAGCTTCAAATCGCTGGTCACCAAGATAGCCCCAGACCGTGTGGGCTGCTATAGGGGCGCAGTCCCACGATCGTCCAGGCCTCTCCCTTACCACCCACTTCTAAGGGATCCCACGGACCTCCTGCAACTCCACCAAGCTCCACACCATCCTCCTGGGACTCCCTGGAGTCCAACCCTCCGGCCTCGCCCCCCACAGCTGTCCCCTCTCCCACTTCCAGGCTCCACCCCCGCCCCGCCCCCGGGCTCTCCACACTCCCGAGTTCCGCCCCAGACCCTCCCCGTCGCCGCCCCGAGCCCCCGGCTCCCCTGCGA